GTAAGTCTTCTGTTACAAATAAGAGGAAATAGAAGAAACAAGAACAACCTTGACCAACAACCAAAAGGTGAAGAAATAAGACACAGCCTCATCTGACACATCAGTGGTTTGTGATCTCACAAATCACCTTTATATGCTCTTTAATTATGTTGTCATTATTGTAAGATTCAAGTTGCTTTGAGCAGGAAAACAGACGAAACTTGTCAAAATTAAACTTGATCTGTAATTTTTCCTTGCTGTAAAATCTTCTCCAGTTCATCATATTTCACACATGAAATGCTGCAGTGATGGAAATAATGTGCATTCATCAGGGTTTTAGAGGTAGAATTTGTATAGAAAGCAAAGGTTAAATGTACTTATTTGAAACACTTTATTGAAACCACAAGGAATTATGAATTTCCTCATAAACATATATTTCTTAGTGTTTCAGTGCACACTTATCGAAACGTAACATCACTGTGAGGAAGCACTAAAACTATATTTAAACTTTTAGTCAACATGTGAAAACAGCAACCCATAAAATGAATGATAAATTCATGGTTTCTGTGCTTCCTCCTCAGGTGCATCATTTGGAGGTTTCTATGGTACTCCAATTCAATTCAGTTTATTAAACTATGACAATGGACAGTGATATGTTGTTTAAACTGGAGAGATATGATCTCTCCGAGTCCAGTTAAGACTCTGGCAGCAGCATTTTGGATCAACTGAAGACGTTTTAAAGAAGTATTTGGACATCCAGATAATAAACCATTGCAATAGTCCAGTGACAAATGCATGGAACCAGTTTTTCTGCATCATGTTTAGATCAGATGTTTCTAATGTTAGTGATATTACGCAGGTGGAAGAAGGAAGTTCTAGTAACGTTTTTAATGTGGGGGATAAAAGACATGTCCTGATCAAAAATAACACCAAGATTTTTAACATTAGAACTGGAGGACACATTAATGTCATCTAAGGAGGGAGAAAGGCTGAAAATGTATTTCTAAGATGTTCAGGTCCAAAAACTAAAACCTCTTGTCTGTATTCAAAAGCAGAAAATTAAGGGTCATCCAGGGTTTTATGTCTTTAAGACATGCTTGTAGTCTAAGTAGCTGATATGATTCATTGGGTTTAATGGACAAATATAATTGCGTGTCATCAGCATAACAATGAAAATGTATCCCATGCTATTTAATAACTTTACCTAATGGAAGCATGTATAAAGTAACGAGCATTGGTTCAAACACTGAACCTTGAGGAACTCCATGACTAACTTTGGTGTAAGATGAAGATTCATTATTTATATTTACAAATTGGAATATATCAAATAAATATGATTTAAACCAATTTCGAGCCATTCCTACAATTCCTATATTCAAGCCACTGTAGTAAAATATTGTGATCAACTGTATCAAACGCAGCACTGAGGTCTAACAGGACCAGTAAAGACACAAGTCCATTGTCTGAGGCCATGAGAATATCATTAGTAACTTTAACCAGTGCAGATTCAGTGTTGTGGTGAGCTTTAAACCCTGACTGAAACTCTTCAAACAGATTATTTCATTGAAGATGTTCATGCAACTGACCTGAAACTATTCTCTAGAATTTTCCAACTGAACCTCCTCAGGTGCATCATTTAAA